TCTGGGAAATATGGTAGGTAATGTCAGGGATCCAGAAGCAAAATGGTGAATTTTTACAGCTAAAGGTATATCAGAAGAGATGGATCAAAGTGGACAATTTCAATATTTATTTTGGAAGTAGGATAGGACTTGGGGATGACATGGCTGTAAGTGAAGAAAGAAAAAACTAAGAATGACCTGAAGGTTTCTGGTATGAGTAGCTAGACACATAACTTCCCTAAATGGTGGAATGGAGAATGTGTGGATATGAGAGTGAAAGAGCAAGTTAAAAGTACTAGATGTAGGAAGTAGGCAGTTCAGGATTTTGAAACCTCTTGCTTGAGATAAATTAAGGAGACTAGGGTATTGGTAATATTTAAAAATAAGGGAATGGATGAGATCCACAATAAAAGTGAAAGTTACTTGAAAGTACCTTGCAGTTAAATTGTGGTCCTATGGGAAAGAAATTATTCCATATGCCTAGAAATTCTATGCCCTAGATATAACCTGAATGAGTTGATTTGTTTATTAGATCAAAGGGATTTTTGTTTAGACTCTATCATAACCCTTGAATGGATTTTTAGTATATTAATGAAACAATTTTTATCAGTTTCTAAAGCCAGAGTAGCATCATTTTAGATATCTGATGAAGATATGTTAAAAAGAAACTTTTGTGACTAGATTGTAAGCATCATGAGGGCATTACCTATCTGTTAAGTCAGCAGTCATTGGTTTCCTGGCCCCTTCCCTCACTTCCTCAGAGATTAGTGGTAGTATTATCAATTTAGTGTTTATTACTTCAAATTCTTTTCTGTGTACAAACTAACGTACCCATGAGAATTATATAGTAATTTCATGTGTGCATTTTAAAATCATGTGTACTATACATATCTTTCTCCAACTTTTTTCACTTAGTGGTATGCCTTAGATGTCTTTGAGTTGGTACATAAAGATCTACCTCTTTTAACTGTTGTGTGGTATTTCATGTGATAGATTTAACATAGTTTAGACATTCTGTTGATGGACGTTTAGTCTTTTTGCAATGTTTTATTATAATGCTACACAGAATATATGTGTAGTAGTTTCTCTGGGTTCATGCGTGTTTTTGCTAGGGGGAAGTTCTGAGAATAGGTGTGAGAATAGGAATTGCTGAGTCAGAGTATATGCATATATGTTCTGATAGATAACTGTCAGATTGTCTTCAGCTGGACCACTATATTGATTGCATTTCCACTAGTTTCTCCACATTCTTGTGAACACTGGATATTATCAAATAGTTAAATTTTTGTCTACTTATTTTATTTTTTTTAAAGAATTTATTGATTTTAGACAGCTCATGTGGGGCCGGGTGGCAGAGGGGGCGGGAGAGGAAGAGGGAAAGAATTTCAAGCAGATTCCCCTGCTAAGCACAGAGCTGGACTCAGGGCTTCATCTCACAACCCTGAGAACATGACCTGAGCCAAAACCAAGAGTCGGACGCTTAACTGACTGAGCCACCCAGGTGCCCCAAATTTTTGTCAGTTTGTGATCTTTCTAAAGTATGGATATCAATTCTCTGTTATATTTGTTACAAATATATATGTATATATAGTACATATAGTATATTTTTTCATTTTGTATATTTCTACACCTTATTGTGTTTCTTTGCTATGTAAATATTTTATAATGTAATGGGAAAAATACTTTTCACTATTGCAAGAGATAGGAATAACTATAATGAATATGCAAGACTTTTATGAAGAAAGTTATAAAATAATATAGGACATAGAGTGGAAAGGTATGCATATGTCTGGATGGGAAGGATTCAATAATGTCAAAGTGTTAATTTTTTTGTTTCCAAATTTCTAAATTCACTGAAGCCCTAATCAGATCCAAGTGTGTATGGATATGGTACCAAATTTAAAAGGTAAAAAGGATAAACAGAAGGAAGATGTTCCTCTGTCCCTGACCCATCTACATAGTGCTCTTCCATACAGGCAAACCACTGTTGTCATTTTCTTAGAAAATTTTTTTAAAGATTTTATTTATTTACTTGACAGAAAGAGAGCACAAGCAGGGGGAGTGGCAGGTAGAGGGAGAGGGAGAAGCAGGTTCCCCGATGAGCAGGGAGTGCAACGTGGGGCTGTATCCCAGGACCCTGGGATCATGACCTGAGCCAAAGGCAGACACTTAATTAACTGAATGAGCAACCCAGGCACCCCATTTTAGTGAAAATTTATCTAGAGATAGTCTATGCATGCATGTGTGTATGTATGTGTGTGCTTCTCTCTGTGTGTATGGTCTTTGTTTATCCATTGTTCTGTACCTTGTTTGCACTTAATTTATATGAGAGGTTATTCCATATTAGTATGTAAGTACATTTAGAGCTGCCTTGTTTCCAGGACTGCAAAATATTTCATTGTGTCATCATCATCATTCAGTTTATCAGTGGTCTATTGAGAGAAATTTAAGGTGTTTCAGTCATTTTACTTTTCAATAAATATCCTGTTTTGTTCTTCAAAACGTGATGATATGTCTATAGGAAGGATGCCTAGAAGTGGAATTGCTTTGTTAAAGAAGTATTTTTTTGAGTTGCCCTCCATAGAAGTTGTACCAATTTACACTGCTTTATAGTATGAGACTCTTTCTGTATTATTAATCCTTTTTTTCTTAAGTTTTTATTTAAATTCTAGTTGGTTAATGCACAGTGTAATATTAGTTTCAGGTGTACAGTATAGTGACTCAGCACTACCATACAACTCCTGGTGCTTATCACAAGTGTACTTCTTAATTCACATCACCTATTTAACCCATCCCTCCCCTCTGGTAACCATCAGTTCTCTATAGTTAAGAGTCTGTTTCTTGGTTTGCCTCTTTTTTTTTTTAAATTATTTTTAAATTTTTTTAAATTTAAAAAAATTTTTTTTTAGGTTTGCCTCTTTTTATTCTTTCCCTTTGTTCATTTGTTTTGTTTCTTAAATTCATATATGAGAGAAATCATACGGTATTTCTCTTTCTCTGACTTATTTTGCTTAGCATAATACACTATCTTCATCCACGTTGTTGCAGATGGCAAGATTTCATTCCTTTTCATGGCTGAGTGTGTGGATGTGTGCATGCATACATATATATACCACATCTTCTTTATCCATTCATCAGTTGACGGACACGGGCTGTTTCCATAATTTGGCTATTGTAGATAATGTTGCTGTGTAAACATTGGGGTACACATATGCCTTTGAATTAGTATTTTTGTATTTGGGTAAATACCTAGTGCGATTGCTGGATTGTAGGGTAGTTCTATTTTTAACTTTTTGAGGAACCTTTTGATCTTTGTCGGTGTAAGCAAAAAGTGGTGTCCCTTTAGAATTTAAATTTACGTTTCTTCTAAATATTTCATATATTTAAGAGCCATTTGTATTTCTTTTCTAGTGAACTATGTTCTTTTTTTATTTGCCCTTTATTTTCTTTGGTTGTTGGTTTATCTTATTGACTATAAGACCTCTTTGTCTTGATTCCCCCCCGCCCCGGATGTGTATTGCATATATTTTCTTCGTAGTTCATCATTGTGTTTATTTCTGGTATTTTTTCTCCCATACAGATGTCTGGTAAAATACACTAACGTAAAATTTCCTATTTTTTTCTATTTTTAAGTGTACAGTTCATTGGCATTAAGTATATTCACACACGTTTTTAAAAAATCACCATTATCTATCTCTAGAACTTTTTCATCATCCAAACAGGAAGTCTATATAGTATTAAACAATAGTGCCCAGTACCCCTTCCCCCCAGCTCCTCGTGACTTCTGTTCTACCTTTGTCTCTTATATTCTAGGTACCTCAAATAAGTAGAACCAGAAAATTTTTGCCCTTTTGTGTCTGAATTAGTTCACTTATCATAATGTTTTCAAGGTTTTCTATGTTGTAGCATGTATCAGACTTTTTAGGGATGAATAATAATCCATTGTATTTACATCTTGCTTGTCTCATTAATTTGTTGATAGACTTTTGGGCTGTTTCTCCCTTTTGACCATCGTAAATAATGCTGGTGTGAACATTGGTTCACAGGTATTCACATGAGTCCCATCTTTCATTTCTTTTTAGGTATATTCCAGGAAGTGGAATTGACTCATCGTGTGTTAAATTTATGTATAACTTTTTGAGGAACCCCCAAACTGTTTTCCACAGTGGCTGTACCCCATTTTACATGGCTCTGAGCAGCAATGCAGAAGTGTGCAAATTTTTTCTTTCAGAAGTGTTCTAATTTTTGTACATTTTCACCTTCTTATTGTTTTTTTTTTAAATATTTTATTTATTTGACAGAGCATAAGCAGTGGGGGAAAGGGTAGAAGAGAAGCAGGCTCCCTCTCAGCAGGGGCTCGATCCCAGGACTCTGGGATCATGACCTGAACTGAAGGCAGATGCTTAACTGACTGAGCCACCCAGGTGCCCACCTTGTTATTCTTTATAAAAAAAAAAAAATCCATCCTAATTGCTGTGAAGTGGTTGTCAGTTTTTTTTCCTTTTTAAAAAATTTTTAATTGTAAAAAACACATACCATGAAATTTACTATGATAAGCATTTTTAAGTGTATAGCTCAGTGTAGTGTTAAGTATATTCACGTTGTTGTGCAGCAAATCCCCCAGACTTTTTCATCATGAAAAACTGAAACTGTGTACCCATTAAACAATTCTCCATCTACTCCTCTCCTCGGCCCCTGGTAACTGCCCACGTACTTTATGTTTGTGTGAATTCACTTCTTTAAATACTTCATATAAGTGGGATCATACAGTATTTATCTTTTTTCACTTAGTATAATGTCCTCAAGATTCATCTATGTCATAGCATGCAATCGATTTTCCTTTCTTTTTAAGGCCGAATAATATTCCATTGTATGTATATATCACATTTTATTTAATCATTTGCCCATGGACTTTTGGTTGCCACTTCTTGGCTATTTGTGAATAATGCTGCTATGAATGTAAATGTGCAAATATCTCTTGGAAATCCTGCTTTCATTTCTTTTAGATATGTACCCAGAAGTGGGATTGCTGTATCATACGGTAATTTAATTTTTAATTTTTTGAGTAACCTCTGTACTGCTTTCTATATCTGCTGTTTCTAGCCCAACATCAGTGCACAAAGGATCGAGTTTCTTCAACCAACGAATTTCACCTCAGAAACAATTCTTTTTGTTTGTTTTGATAGTAGCCATCCTTATGGATGTGAGATGATATCTTTTGGTTTTGATTTGTATTTCCCTAACTAATGCTGTTGAGCATCTTTTCTTGTGCTTATCGGTCATTTGTATATTTTCTTTGGGGGTGGGGAAAGTATCTACTTAATTCTTTTGCCCATTTTTAAAATTATTTTTGTTGAGTTGTAGGAATTCTTAATATTTTTTGGATATAAAAACCCCTTATCAGATATGTGATTTGCCAAATATTTGTGTTTTGTTTTTATTCTCTAGGTGGTGTTTTTTGCACAAAAGTTCTAAATTGTTTTTCACTTTACTAGTGAATTTTACATTTTTCATATGTTTTCCTGTTATAATTAGTGTCTTAGTTTTAGCTTGAGAACTCTCTTTAACATTCTTTAAGGTCAGGCTAGTGATGATGAACTCCATCAGCTTTAGTTTGTTTGGAAAATTCTTTTTTTTTTTTTAAAGATTTTATTTATTTGAGTTAGAGAGAGTGAGCATGAGCAGGGAGAAGAGCAGAGGGTGAGGGAGAAGCAGACTCCCTGCTGAGCAGGGAGCCTGATGTGGGGCTGGATCCGGGGATTCCGGGATCATGACCTGAGCTGAAGACAGATGCTTTATCCAACTGAGCCACCCACGTGCCTGTTTGGAAAATTCTTTGTCTCCTTCAATCTTGATGGAAAACTTTGCTGGGTCAAGAGTAATCTTGAATGTCAGTGTTCTTCTTTCAGCACAAAAGTTTTTAATTTTGATGTCCAGTTTATTTAGTTTTTCTTTTACTGCCTATGTTTTTAATGTCTTGTATCCAGGAAATCATTGACAAATCCAAAGTCATGAAGCTGCCCCTCTGTTTTAAGAGTTCTGTAGTTTTAGTTCTTTAAATATAGGTATTTGACCCATTTTGAGTTAATTTTTATATATGGTGTAAGGTAAGGGTTCTATTCTTTCTCTCTCTCTTTTTAAAATAACTGTACTTTATCACTGAATGGTCTTGGCATCCTTGTCAAATCATTAGACCAAATATCTGGAGATTTCTTTCTGGGCTCTCTATTTTATGCCGTTGGTCTATATATTTGTCTTTATGTCAGTACCAAGCTGTTGTTTTTTTTGTTTTTTTTAAAGATTTTATTTATTTATTTGACAGAGAGAGACACAGCGAGAGAGGGAACACAAGCAGGGGGAGTGGGAGAGGGAGAAGCAGGCTGTGGGGCTCAATTCCAGGACCCTGGGATCATGACCTGAGACGAAGGCAGATGCTTACGACTGAGCCACCCAGGCACCCCAGTACCAAGCTCTTAATGTACTGTAGCTTTATAGTAAGTTTTGAAATCATTCTTGTTCCTTGAGATCCATGTGGATTTTGGGATGACACTGCAAAAAACATTTGGGTTTTGATAGGGATTACATCAAATCTGTAGATTGCTTCAGGTATAGTATTGTCATCTTAATGTTAATCTTCTAATCCATAAACATAAGACGTCTTTCCACTTATTTGTGTCTTTAATTTTAATTTACCATCCCCCCTTAAAAAAAACAAAGAAAAAAAATTACATCTGCAGAAATGATTATTTTCCTTTTTCTCTTTGGATTCCTCTTATTTCTTGCCTAATTGTCTGGCCAGAACTTCCTGTAATATGGTGAATTAAAATGATGAAAGTAAGCAGTGGTTCATCATTCTAATCTTAGAGGAAAAGCATTCCATCTTTTACCATTGTGATGCTAGCTAGCTATTTTTTTTCCATATATGGCCTTTATCATGTTGCAGAAATTTCCTTCTCTTGCTAGTTTATTATTTTTATCATAAAAGCATGTTGTGTTTTGTCAAAATCTTTTTTGCCTCAATTGAGATGATCATGTGTTTTTTCCCCCCTTCTGACTATAAATATGGTATATTATTTTGATTTTCTTAAGTTGAATTACCCTTGCATTCTGGGATAAATCCCACATAGCCATGATATATAATCTTTTTAATATGCTCCCAGTTTTGATTTGCTATTTTGTTGAGTTTTACATTTATATTCATAAGGAATGTTGGCCTGTAGTTTTCTTGTAATGTCTTTGTCTGGATTTGGTATCAGAGTAATGCTGGCCTTGTAGAATGAATTTGGAAGTGTTCTCCCCTTCAATTTTTTGGGACCAGTTTGAGAAGGATCAATGTTAATTCTTCAAATGTTTGGTAGAATTTATCAGTGAAGCTATCTGTTCCTGGACATTTCTTTGTTGGGAGACTTTTTTTTTTTTTTTTAAAGATTTTACGTATTTATTTGACAGAGAGAGACACAGCGAGAGAGGGAACACAAGCAGGGGGAGTGGGAGAGGGAGAAGCAGGCTCCCCGCAGAGCAGGGAGCCCGATGCGGGACTCGATCCCAGGACCCTGGGATCATGACCTGAGCTGAAGGCAGTCGCTTAACCAACTGAGCCACCCAGGCGCCCCTGTTGGGAGACTTTTGATGACAGATTTGATCTCCTTGCTTATTGTAGTTCTATTTAGATTTTATTTTATTTTATTTTAATTTTAGTTTATTTTATGTAATCTCTACACCCAGTGTGGGGCTCAAACATACAGCCCCAAGATTTGCATACTCTACTGACTGAGTCAGCCAGTCACCCCTAGATTTCATATTCTTTCTTGAGTTAGTTTTGGTACTTGTGTATATCTAGGAATTTGTCCATTTTATCTTTGTTATCTGATTTATTGGCATACAATTGTTCATTGTGCTCTTTTATAATTCTGTTTCTGTAAAATCAGTAGTGAGGTCTTATTTTCATTTCTGATTTTAATAATTTGAGATTTTCTTTTGTTTCTTAGTTAATCTAGCTAAAGATTTGGTAATTTTTTTCAAAGAACTATCTTTTTGTTTTGATGATTTCTCTCTTTTTTTCCCTCTATTTGGTTTATCTGTGCACTGATCTTTATTTCATCCTTTCTGCCAGGCTTGGGTTTAGATTGCTCTTCTTTTTCTGGCTTCTTAAGGTATAAAGTTTATTGATTTCACATATTTTATTTATTTATTTATTTATTTTTAAAGAGTTTATTTGAGGGAGAGAGAGCAAGAGAGAGCACAATCAGGGTGAAGGGCAGAGGGAGAAGCAGACTCTGCTGAGGAGGGAGCCTGATGCAGGGCTCAGTCCCTGGACTCCGGGATCATGACCTGAGTTGAAGGCAGATGCATAACCGACTGAGCCACCCAGGTGCTCTGATTTCAGATATTTTTAAATGTAGGTGTTAATAGCTGTAAATTTCCTGCTGAACACTGTTGTCACTGCACCCCATGTTTTGATATGTTGTGTTTGTGTTTTCTTTGGTTTCAAAGTGTTTTTTTCATTTCCCTGTGATTTCTTCTTTGACCCATTGATTGTTGAAATATGTTGTTTAATTTCTAACTATTTCTGATTTTCCACTTTTGCTTCTATTTTTATTTTTGGCATTTTTTATTTCATACATTTTGTGCACTCTTGTGTATATGTATATATATTTATGTCTTCCTGATGGGTTGAATCTTTTACAGTATATAGGGGCTTCCTGTGTCTCATAACCTTTTTTGACTTCATGTTTATTTTGTCTAATATTAGTATATCTATTCTCTTCTCTGGTTACTATTTGCGTGGAGTCTTTTCTATTCATCTACTTTCAGTCTGTGTCTTTGTATCTGAAGTGAGTCTTTTCTACAGCATATACATAGATCCTTTTTTTTTTCTAACCTCCCAATCTTTTAATATAATTTAATCTATTTACATTTAAAATAATTATGAATAAGGAAGGATTCACCTCTGCCATTTTGCTATTTGTTTTCTGTATGTCTTATATGTCATCCCCCCCCATGCCATTTCTTCTTTACTGCCTTCTTTTGTGTTTGATTAACTTTATTCTAGTGTACCATTTGATTCCCTTTACTGTATATAGTTTAAAATGTTTTTCTCAGTGGTTATCTTAAAGATTAAAATCATCTTGGGGCGCCTGGGTGGCTCAGATGGTTAGGTGTCTGCCTTTGGCTCAGGTCATATCTCAGGGTCCTGGGATCAAGCCCCGCATCAGGCTCCCTGCTCACTGGGAAGCCTGCTTCTCTCTCTCCCTCTCCTACTCCTCCCTGCTTGTACTCTCTCACTCTCTCTGTCGAATAAATAAATAAAATCTTTAAAAAAAAAAAAGATTAAAATCATCTTAAATTCACAATTTATTGGAAATAGTACCAACTTAGTTTCAGCAGTATGCACTCTCCTGTTATATATTTCTGTTCTCCCCCTTATTTTTCTCAGATTATTATCTTTATATGTGTATTTATTAACAAATACTGATAATTGTTGTTTTATCTATTTGTCTTGTAAATCATAGGAAAAAAGTAATTATAAACTAAAAGTACAGTAATACTGTCTTTCTGTTGATTGATATAGGTAATTTCACTTAAGTTCTTCATTTCTTACAGCTTCAATTTATTTAATATGTTTTTATTATTGCCCGAAGGATAGCATTTCATGCAGGTATGAACTCCTTCTGCTTTTGTCTATCTAGAAATGTCTTAGTTTCTCCTTCATTTTGGAGGAATTTTTTGCTGGATATAGAATTCTTAGTTGACATTTTTTTTTTAAAAGATTTTATTTATTTGACAGAGAGAGACAGCAAGAGAGGGAACACAAGCAGCAGGCAGAGGGAGGAGAAGCAGGCTTCCCAGGGAGCCCGACGTGGGGCTCAATCCCAGAACCCTGGGATCATGACCCAAGCCGAAGGCGGATGCTTAACGACTGAGCCATGCACGCGCCCCCCTTAGTTGACATTTTTTTGTTGTTGATTACTTTAAATGTCATCCCACTAGCTTCTGGCTTCCATGGTTTCTAATGAGAAATAAGCTGATAATCTAAATATT